ATTAATAAAAAGCAATACCAAAATATAGATCGAAGGAGGATAAAGTATCAGGAACGTGCTGTTTCTCCATACAGGGAACATATTTATTTTGAACCACTGTCTCTTAAGCCACGAAATGGTCGGTTCACAACTAGTTTTAGAACAATGTCCTATTGATGAGCCTATGCCAAAGTACCTTTCTTCTCACCATCCTGTTAAGAGCCCCCTGGTTAGAAAAGCTTTTGGTAAACCTCTGGATTTCAGACAACTAGCTGCTTCTTTTGAGAGCAGTATGAAGGTTCCCTTCTGCAGAAGCGACAATTCTCTTGTGCAACAAAATCTCCCTTCTGTGATTTTTTCCTTCTGAAACAGACGGGGCTCTGTGCTTCTCTCTGTAGAAAGGATCTGGAGTCATTCCCCCTCTCCCCCTCTCCAATTCTTAGCTGGAAAAAAAAGCGAGCCCATGAGCTGGCCCTTTCATGCTCTAGGACAGTGGTGTGGTGAGTGGGCTTCGGATTAATTCAATTCAACACCTCAAGCTAAATCTGTCAAACATCTTTTTTCCCCCCATGGACCTGATTTATTGTGATAATAGGATCAACACATGTTCTGTACAAAGGTAACCATTAAATAATTATAAACAAATAATTTCATCACATACTCCCAGCCCATTTTGCATCTCCTGCCAGATACGAAACACTTACTTTCATACATTTACAGCGATAATTTGCATAAAACCACTGAACATGGGGATATTTTCAAAGCAGCTGCTTATGTGATGTGATTAGCAAAATCTCCCCCACCCTCCCACCCCCACCCACACACACTATTAGTCATTCCTTTGAGTTAATACATTGAAGGCCTCTGTTCAAATTAAAACATTATCTACTAATAGAGAGACAAATGGAGTTATTAACATTTTGCTCAAATTAGTTGATTGAAATCCTTAATCAGTAAGGTCCTTTGTGAAAGGGACCCAGAAGCGGTTTTAAGTTTTGACGAGGGAAAGGAAAGGTCCCTAATATGCGCTGGTGCCTGGGGAGGGAAGACGGGGTTCCAGCACTCTGCATGGGACTCTGGCCAGGGACGATCTTGAAAGCACTGGAAACTCAGGTGGAGCTGGGAGGGACACCTGGGTGGCTCAGTCAGTTAAGCTTCTGCCTTTGGCTCAGGTCATGATCCCAGGGTCCTGGGACCGAGTCCCGCATCGGGGAGCCTGCTTCTCCCTCTGCCTGCCCCTCTCTCTCTAACAAACAAACAAACAAATAAATAAAATCTTAAAAAAAAAAAAAAACTCAGATGGAGGGAAGGCTGCTAAAAAGTGAAGGAGAGGGTGGTTTCTGAAGTTTGGTAAAGGCCATTAAAAGCAAATGCTCTCTAAGGAAGTTTGGTAAAGGCCATTAAAAGCAAATGCTCTCTAAGGGACAGTGCTGCCAAGAGCTAATGAGCTTGATTCAGGTGTCCATGACCAAAGCAGTCACTGCTCCACGTTTTAGAAAATTCTCCAGCTCTCTGCAGAGATCATATCCAGTGAGGTTAAAGAATTCTAAGGGATCGATTGACTTCTGACTCAACTTGGGTTTTTTTTTTTTCTTTTGAGACATAACTTAAAAAAAATGTTTCACTACAAAAGAAATTCTCATTGCAGGATAGTCGAACAGTTATAAAATATATAGACTCAAACCCGAAAAATCCTCTCAATACCCACCATAATTTCAGGCTCCTGCTATCTAGATGTGCTCCCAGGTTCTTTTCTATGCATTTACCTGCATTTATGTAGGTTGATGCTTGAACAACGCCGAGGTTAGGGGCCCAGACCCCTGTGCACTTGAAAATACGTGTATAACTTTTGACTCCCCCAAAATGTAACTAATAGCCTACTGTCGACCAGAAGCCTTACCGATAACGTAAGTAGTCGATTAACAAATATTTTGTGTGTTATATGCATTATATACCATATTTTTTTGTTCTACATTTTTATTAAGTTTTTCTTTTAATTCCAGTGCCATTAACATACAGTGTTATATTACTTTCAGGTGTACAATATAGCTGGATTTTTTAAAAGAATATTTATTTGAGAGAGAGAGAGAGCGAGCACTAGTGGGGGTGGGAGGAGCAGAGGGAGAGGGAAAGAATCTCAAACAGATTCCCCACTGAGCACAGAGCCCAGTCATGGGGCTCGATCTCATAACCCTGACATCACGACCTGAGCAGAAATCAAGAGTCCAACCCACCAACTGAGCCACCTAGGCACCCCGACAATATAGCTGCATTCTTAGGGTAAGCTAGAGAAAAGAAAATGTAATTAAGAAAATCATAAGGCAAATATGTTACAGTACTGTACTGTAAAAAAAAATCTGTGCGTAAGTGGACCCACGCAGTTTAAGGTCAACTGTATATTTATTTTCTTACACAAACACAACAACCTCTACTTGTTTTGTATACGTCCTTGTTCTTTAAATTAAAAAAAAAATTATTGTGGTAAAATAGACATCACATAAAATTTGCTACTCTAACCATTTTTGAGTGGCAATTAGTATATTCACAAGGTTGTGTAAGTCCCAACACTATCTAGTTCTAGCACTTTGTCATCGTTCCAAACCGAAACCCTGTAACCACTAAATACTTAACCCTTATTCTCCCCTCTCTTCAGTCCCGGGTATCCTCTATTCTATTTTCTGTCTCTATGCTCCTTGTTCTTTTAAAATTGTTTTTAAAAAGGTAATACAGGGACATTATTAAAAACGCGAACAGTACAAAAGGGCGTATACAATGTTAAATACTTCCTCCTATGCTTGACCCCCCAGGCAACCAGTGTAATCAGCTTTTCATAGTAGCAAACCATACACCACTTGCTGTTTTCATTTAACAACCTTTGAAAGAGAGCGAGAGAGAGAGAGACAACATATATATAATTCGTATTTATCCACCCCTCGGTTTTGCCAGGATCAGTTTCCTTCTGACTCAGCTTTAGAAAAAATAAATTTTTTTATTGTGGCAAAAACCACATGACATAAAATTCACCCTCTCCACCATTTCTTAGTGTGCAGTGCAACATTGTCAGCCACGTGCACATTGTTGTGCAACAGATTCCCCAGAACTACCCCCCTCCCCGCCCGCCACACACACTCACCCAAGTCCTGCATGACGGAAACTCCACATCCGTAGAACAACACCTCCCCACCGCGCCCACCATTCGACTTTCTGTTTCTATGAGTTTGACTGTCTTAGATGCCTCCTATAAGTGGAATCATGCAGTATTTGTCCTTCTGTGACTGGCTTGTTTCAAAACTTGGCATATGATACTCGAGGTTCATCCATGTCCTAGCATATGCCAAGATTTCCTTCCCTTTCCAAGGCTGACATGAATATGCCACATTCTACTGCATGTATATGCCACCTTTTCTTTATCCTTTAATCTGTCCCTGGGCTTGTAGGTTGCTCCGACCTCGGGTCTAGTGTTAATAATGCTGCAATGAATGTGAGGGGGCAAATCTCTCTTTGAGATTTTGCTTTCAGTTCTTTTGTCTATATTTCCAGAAGTGGGATTGCTGGATCATATGGTAGTTCTATTTTTAATTTTTTTAGGAACTTCCATACTGTTTTCTGGAGCAGTTGTACCATTTCACACTCCCAGCAACAGTGTACAAGGGTTCCAATTTCTCTAGATCCTCGCCAACACTTTTTACTTTCTGTTTGTTGGCTTGTTTTTAAAATAACAGCCATCCTAACCGGCGTGAGGTGATACCTCATTGTGGTTCTGAATGGCATTTTCCTGATGATTAGATATTAAGCATCTTTTCATATGCTTGGCCATTTGTCTATTTCCTTTGAAGAAATGTCTATTCAAGTCCTTTGCCCATTTTTTAGTTGGGTTATTTGTTTTGTTATTGGGTTGTAGGAGTTCTTTATATATTTTTGATACTAACCCCTTATCAGACATATGGTCTGCCAACATTTTCTCCCCCACTGTTAATTCTTTTGCCGTGCAGAAGTTTTTAAGTCTGATGTAGTCCCAGTTGTCTATTTTTGCTTTCCTTGCCTGTGCTTTTGGCGTGACTCATTAACTTTTATTTCTCTTAGGGTCAGATTTTCATCAGAATAGCCTGGTTGTGATTTTTGCCTTGTTTCCACCTCAGCGCTCTCTAGCACATTGTTTAACAGGGGTGTTGGCTAATTACTATTGGTTCCCTGATGGGATACTCCCAGAGCTACCTTAATTTTTCTGGACTGGTTCCCATGCACAGTAATGGGAGGCTTCCGTGGGAGGGGGGGTGTTTCCTTCATTTTCTCTCTTCTTTCCCCTTCATCCCATGTTAGGTGCAGAATCTTTTCTGGGGCCTTCTCCTTCTTTCCTCTCCCATCCTCTTTGTCAGTGGGGTGGTGGTCTCTGAGCCAATGACTGGTCAGCCGAGAGGCTGACTCCAGACCAATGAGGCTTCTGGGTTCCAGATGGACCAATTAGCTTATTAGGGACATTGTACCTGGATAGCTGGCATCTGTCCCATTGTCCTCTTTAAGGACCCTCTTGTTTCGCCCATCAAGGATTTGAATGTGCAAATGAAACCCTACTTTCTTTTGTTTTGTTTTGTTTTTAAATTTTGGTGGCTTTAATCCATCCCCACAACTTCTGCCCAAAGCCAATAAAGCACAGGCATTCTCCCTTTGTAAAAAGAAAGAGGGGTTGGGTTTCCTTCAATTGTCTGCCCTTTTCTGTCTCCTCCACTATTTTTGTTTTACTCTGTAGTTAACTTTGCATTTAGAGCAGCTTCATCTGAGGACCAGCGCGGTGGACCTAGGCACTCTCTTCTCATTGCCGGTTGCAACGGCCTTTTCCTTGTTCTAACCTGGTGGCTTGTGGGACCAGGGGGTTGGCGGGTGGGAGAAGAGTTTGGCCACAGTCTTCCTTCTACATTTCACACACCTCCTGCGCTCGCTCGCTCTCGCGCGCGCTCTCTCTCTCTCTTTTGCGCACACACACACATACACACACACACACACACGCGCGCGCGCGCCCGCTCGGGCCCCTCTCGGTGTGTCTTCCTTCAAGATGACAGGGCGCTGGAGAAAAGGCTGCTGGAATCAGCTGGTAGGTACAGTAGTAACCCGAACCCCACCCACCCGCTGCCTTTGCTTGCTCAGGTTTCTCCGGTCACTCCTGCCAGGGGAGAAAACATGTAAACGCGCCTCCACAGGAGGGGCTGGGGGAGCTGGGAGCGGCGGGGGCGGCGGAAGGTGAGCCCGGGAAGGTGGCCGAGCGCCCCTGCTGCCGGGGGCCCTTCCCAGTGCTCCCTCGGGGCGTCAGCCCCAGCCCTGTTTGCCCCCCACCCCCCTTTTCGTAGGGATCGCCTTTTTTTTTTTTTTTTTT